TAAGATGGCTAAGCACAAACTAAAGGCTAAGCCAAATGACTCGTAAAGTGTAAAAACAAAAAAAACATTTTTAAAATAACTTAAAATAAGTGAAAGTTCATTATAATTAAAACAATTATATGCTTAGAATTGATTCTAATTTAAGAATCGATTCAAAAATATGTAATCGTTTCTAGAAAGATTATAACGATTACACAAAAATAAAAATCGATTCTAATTCGATTAACGATTAAACCAATTATCAAAGATTCGATTCTCATCCCTACTAGAGAGTTACCCAAAGAACCAGCTAAAAAGACACTATTCAAAGAAGATATGATTACAAAGATAATTAAATAATAATCGTCATTAAGTTTATTATTATAAACAATATAGGCTTATTAACTTAAATATTTGAGGCTTTATTTAAAAAAGCCTTGAACCTTGAATTTTTAAATCTCAAATATGTACCGGACATATAAAATAAACACAATATTTTACAACATAAAAAATTCTTTGTTTACAAACTGTAGCTTAGCCTTTTCTTTTTCTTTTCGACTTGCACTAGAGGTTCACCTTTCACAGAGAGTTTTGCCTTTCGCCATAGGTTTTGCCTTTCACTAGAGGTTTTGCCTTTCGCCGGGGGTTTCGCCTTTTGCCAGGGGGTTTCGCCTTTCGCCAAGGTTTCGTCTTTCACCAGAGTTTCATCAGTTTTGCCATTTTTGGGTTTAGGTTTCGTCTTTCACCATTTTTGAGTTTAGGTTTCGCCTAACAACTATACATCCAGCTGTTGTATCCTAAAGTACCAGGATAAGCCATGGTAATCGTATCCAACTATTCCGAAGTACTGTGGATAGTTGTGGTTATTTGTTGTTACCCAATTACCCGAAGTAGTGTGGTAATTAAGGATCTCTGAATAAAGAACTAAGATGTTAGAAAGAAGTGAATACTTACCAAACCACTGACCAAATTTAAATGCCTCTTTTTCGACTAAGTCGACTGTAGGTTACGCAAGACTTGGACTGACTCGCCATTAGACCCAGTTTCAATACTAAACTTATCAACACTAATTACAAAATTTCTTATTTTTACACTTGATATGAACAATTTTATTTTATTTTTTTTTTATTACAAAATATTCAAGAATTTTTAAAAAATATTCGAGATACTTAGTTTCAGAGATTTAAATCTTCTACTTGTCCCAACCACCACGTAGAGGTGTATCTTACAGTTGGGAAGGTTTCCCCCAACCCATCTCTCCTCATTCCCGATGGAGTAGGTTGTTCATCTCGGAAATACATCAAGAAGCTTTTGTTCATTACCTCTAGGAATGCTATCAACTTACTTGGCCAACCAAAAAATTCACTTTTAATTCTACTAGTAGTCTTACTCTAAAAATCTTTTAAATCTTCATTTTTAAAAAAAAAACTATCACTTCACCTATATACATAATGACTAAAAAAATTACAAAAACCCAACTGAATCTTCAAAAGTTAGAAGATTCTTAGAACGAGGCTAAGTAAATTATTTGGTTATTACATAATATAGCCAATAAGTTGATAATATACCTATTTCCCTTAAGAGCTTAGAAGGAATTAACACCACCACTCCCTCGCCAAACCTCTTATAATATAAGTTTCTTTGACTTTTAAGGAAGGTTCATAGCAGGGCTCCTCATGCAGAGTAGGCAAACCTTAAACAGTAGGAATGCAAAAAAAAACTTAAAAGAGGACGGTCTGAACCTTAATAATAAACACTTATTAAAAATTTAACAATAAAAAAATGTTTTTTTTTTTTAAACTATACTAAGTTAAAAAGTTATACTATACTAAGAAAAAAGTGTTATATTAAAGGCTTGACCGTAAAGAAATAAAAAAAAGAAAGAAGTTTTTCGAGAAAAAAAATAATAAACTATTGCGGTTTTATTAGAGCCATTGTTTTGATTGTTGTTGTCTTATAATCTAATTGGTTACGCCACTATTACGTCATATCTGCATATCTGTATTCTAATAAGGATTTTTTTGCTGAGAAGAATATAGCTCAAAATCATTTATTAAATTATTGTTAGTAAAAATTTTATAGTTTTTTTTTTAAACATAAATTACCAGTTCTTTAACATTTTAAGATATGGTGTTTTAACACCTATGGAGTATTTATTAGACTCGTTAATATACATGTTATAAATTTTATTATAAATATTTATAATTAGTTTAATAATATTTTTAATACGTATTCATATTTTATACAACATCTACATTTTACATTTTATCTAAAAATATGCAATAAAAAATGGCTTTATCCTAATCCTAATTACCATTTTACGCCGAATTTCCGCCAGCAGCAGCCATAGAATGGTCCATTTTCTGCATTAGTGGATTCAATAGTGAGTTTCCATTGATAATTTGCGTGGTAGCAATAACATATTCTCGCTGACCTAAGATACATAAAAGTATCATTAGTAATTTGTATTAAAGTAAGATGAAAAATGTAATAATAAAAAATTCTACCATCATCTTGTTGTGCTAAAAAGCGTATTGCTGAGATTTCTGTATATGTACATCCACCCAGAAAGAATACAAGTGTGACGCGTGGATGTTGCCCTTGTATCATTCCTAATCGATAAATATTAGACTAGGTATATTCATTAATTAAAAACATCACGTGCACTTACTTTTAGGACGTATAGCCCCTTCTTCTTGTCTCTGTACTTCATCAAAAGTTTTACCAGGCAACATTCTCAACACTTCCTCATATCCCTTCCACCCATTGCCAGTAGAGGATGGTGCACTCTTGGTCGTTGCACATTGAATCAAACGTACACTTAATGGTGCATATCCAGAATATACATATGCTACATCTTGAGGATTTTGTTCATCAACTTCATCCACAATTAACCGCAGAGTTTTACGAATATAAGCATATGGATTGCGAGTAGACAATTGTTTAGAGAACATGTTAACACGTTCAAGATTCAGTAACGTTTGAAGGTGTTCGAACCCGTAAGTCTAAGATTGGTAAGTTATAAACTGTCTTTTTTTTTTTTTTTTTTTAAAATTAAAAAAATGAACCTTTTATTTGAAATAGTCTTTTACCTGTAGTATTTCTTTTTTGAAAAATTCGAAAAATTTTTGCTTCAGTCCACCATTTACAAGACTTTGTAAGCATAATAATCGTAAAACTTGAGTAATTGGTGCCTGTCGATTGATCATTTCCTCTATATATTCATTTTGTGTATTAACATCTATACCAGCAACCAAATCTGCAGAAATAAAAATAATTAAATAATAGAAATTAAAATCAAAAAAAAAATCAAATGTGTAAATAATAATAAAGAACAGATTTAAATATATATACTTTGTTGCACTTCTAGAGCTCTGTTGAATTCGGGTGTAACAGTGTACGCCATTATCTCTTCAGCTATACCAGTATCTGACATTTGTTAAGGAAAATATTGCAAGTTCGCACAAAAAAGATTTTTAAATGTAAATATCTTTAATTCATATGAAAAAGGATACGAATTCTTAAAGAGTTATGTTCTAACTGTAACCCTCCTAATTTGTTGGTGAATTCACGGATTTGTGCTACAGTTACAGCTTGATGCCTTTCCTATAGATAAATGACATAAATTATTATAACAAAAGTTTATTAATAGACTCACTAAAATACAATAAACAAAAATAAATACCTCATAATTCTCATTTATTCTTTTAGCAACTCTATTAAGAACACCACCCACGACTGCAAAATTCATATCTCTTAATTGGGAAAATAATTTATCACCCGAATTGAGTGAAATTTTTTTCTTTTTTGCCTGAGGTTGAATAGGTGGTTGTGACTGAGAAGGGGTGCTAGTATTTGTAGCCGTTGCTGAAGATGAAACTCCTACAATCGAAGAATCAACTTCTACATGTGAAGTTTTAATACCAAATACTTCATCTATCAATCCTTCATAGGTTAATTGCGTACATAAAGGTGTTATGAGGTCAACTGATCGGTCGATAATTATAAGCGAATCTACACTTTGAGAGATAGATAACGGAGATGGATCATCTACAGCAACCTCGCGTCGCATGCGAATGAGCATATCGGCAAGTTGCTACATCGAAGTGTGTGTTTATAAGTAGTTACTTTAGCATATTAATAACTGGGCATATTAATAACTAGGATTCACATATAATAATTCAAACCTTGGCACAATCTCCCTTGCCTATTATTCTTGGAAATAGTCCAAATGATGACTGCAATTTCATGAGCGCTCTCGCCACATAATAAATTGAAGTATAATCTCCATCCTTTTAATTGTCATACAAAATTATTACTATATTTAATTAATAGATATCAGCCTTAAAGAGTCTAAAGAGTAATACCAGATAAAGTTCCTTAAATGTATTATCTAATTCTAAGGATAATAAATCATCCTCGAAAGGTATTAAGTCCAGGTGATATTCATTAATAGTTATCTGTAAAAATTATTAGTCAAGGATATTTATTTTTTAGACAGGAAATTCATAAAAACTAATAAAATTTATAATATCAAGGATATCACCAAAGACTCCAGCTTCTTCTAAAATCTTTTCGCAGATCATCGTTCGACGTGGAACAAAAAAGAGGGTATATTCATACTTTTGAGCATGTGGATTATCCAGGAATTCATTTTGGTGATGCTGGATATGTTCTAAAAAAAAGCAATTAGAATATTTATAAGGTTGTTCCTTTTATATAATTAAAATTAAATATGAAAAAAGTTATTTATACCAGCAATATATTTCATGTAATGTAATTGTGGCCTGCAAATATAAATCAAACTTCGAAGATCTGTTTCAAGTGGCCCTGGTTGAAGATAATGCATTTTTTCGACACCGTGATCCTTTATATTTGTTGAAATTCTGCCTCATTAATTCATTCTTTGCAACGAACTTTTTTATTTTAGCCAAATTCAATTTATAAATACCCTTAGCAGAGAAAATTCTGCAATAAGACTCAAAGGCCCACTTATATTAGGATCCAAAACTAAGCATTTTTTTCCCCGCACCTACACATAATAATGTTTAGGCTTATTGTTTTACGTTTTTTAATTTCGATTATTTTACTTATGAATGTGGTTCAGTAGGAAAAAAAGTCTATCTTGACGGATTTTCTCTCCTTTACTGAACAGCATTTTAGCATTAAAGATTTACTTAAAAGATTCCATACAGAATCAAGCACATTCTTAAGATCCTTTCTCGCCAACTCTCTCAAATTTGTAACATTTAGAGAAGAATTTGTAGTACCCAAGTGTGACATGTTAAAAATATTCAAGATTACTGCTAGCCTTCTTTATGGCATATAGATATATACTTCACATCAACTTATGTTTATTGATAATCCACATATATCATATCGGCCAATCAGAATAACTCTATAGTATCGGGATACTTTTCTAGGGATGTAGCGCAGCGCTATTTATTACATAGTGAAAACCCGAATTTTGGCCACCGCGACTCGTTTTAAACTTTTATAAATGCACATACTACATATACTTTAAATACACGCTAATTTTAATCTCAAGCTTTAGAATGTTAATAAAAATGTTCACTATAATGCACACTTAAACTAAATATTTACTTTTTATTTTAATCACGAGTAGATTCATTATCTATTATGTAGCATTTTGTCTTAGAAGCTATCGATACAATTTTTAATTGTTAGAGTACGATGCAATAAATAATAACCACCAAAGAATACCTCCCAAATTACTACGAAATCACATATAACGATAATGTAATTTTTATCTATCGCTATCTAATCTTCACAATTCACATGTTTAAACATTACGTAATTCGTATTGTTAATCGGAATAAAAACGCATCAAAGTTTTGAAAAATTAGAATTATCTGTTTACGTTATGACTTCTCAAGAGCAAAGAGTTTTAGAGTACCAAGATTCTTTTGAAGACTCTGAATACCTAGCGTTCTTACAAAAAACTGCGCAACAAGCACAACGTCTTCAGGAGATTCAACAACAAGAGAATTACGAAATTATTTCACGGGTAGAGGATCCAGCTACGTATCCATCCGAAATCAAACGCATTAGAGAGGAATTACTCGAAGCTAGTGTACAACTTTTATATATTTCAGAGAGCGAGGAACCATATGAGTTTATATTTATTCCAAACGATCAAATTACTTCTCTTCCAACCGACAACGCGAATTTTGCAAATTTGATTAAGCAATATAATATGAATATAATGACAGAAGACGAGGAAACAATAGGAGAAAATCATGTCATGGTATTTCAAGAGTTTTTTGAACCATTTACTGGTGCTAATGCACAGGATCCATATGGTCAAAAAGAAGGATATAAAGAATTACAAAAAATTGTTGAAGCAACCTTTGGCGGCAAAGACAATGTAAGAATATATAAAATTGGCGAACAACGCAGAGTTGGGGTATATATTGTTGGATTGGTTAAAGGCATTGGAATGGCTGGATTAAAGACTATGAGCATTGAAACGTAATATCAATAAATAATATATCAAGATAATCCGTATGAATACTGTATAAATATTCTTTTAAACAATATGTATAGTATGTAAAAAGAATCATTAATTAATAATAAATATTATATGTAACATCGTAATGTTTAAACTCTAGCATTAATTTTTTTCGTTAAATAAATATTATTCACTATTTGGTTCAAAAAAAAAGAGGATCAGTTACAAATTGGAAATAACCGATAGTGTAAAATTGGTGGTTGTAGATGTACCACCCATATCAGGTGTTTTTGCCTATTTATAAAAAAAAAAAACACGTTTTACAGTATTAATAATAAAGGCCCGATCATAAATAAGTGCATTACAAAGTTAAAATTGTTTAATTACCGATCCTCGTTTTATCGTTTGCTTAACAGCATTATGAATCCTATTAGCGAAATCATCGAGACCTAAATGATGTAACATCATTACTCCTGATAGGATTAGAGCTGTAGGATTAGCAGCATTATGCCCTTGGATATCTCTGCCGACATGACGACAACCCTAAAAATAAATCGATATCTATTATAAATCGCAATAAGGTAAAAAAATTAGATTTGATATATAAATATTCAATTTATTTACCGGTTCAAATAAGGCATATTCACGACCTATATTTGCACCAGGAATAATTCCAGGGCCACCGACAAGTGCTGCACCAACATTGCTTACGATATTACCATACAAATTAGGCATAACCATGACATCAAATTGCTGTGGCTTAGAAACTAATTGCATAGAACAATTATCAACAATCATATCATCGAATTCAACTCCTGATGCTTTATAATCTTCTGCAATCTCCCGACAAGTATTAAGAAAAAGACCATCACCAAGTTTCCTATTATAAAATAAATAATACCAGTATAAATTATATATTATACTTTAAAAAAAAAAAAACCAAAATTATTAGGAAATATTCAATACATGATATTAGCTTTATGGACGCAAGTAACCTTTTTACGATTATTTCTAAGGGCAAAATCAAAAGCAAAACGTGCAATACGTTCCGTTTTATTTCTAGTTACAATTTTTAAAGATTCTACGACTCCTGGATATGACTATAATTTCGGTTAATAATTATGATCACTCATGAAATATATATATAATCATATATATATATCACACCTGATGTTCCAATCCGGCATATTCACCTTCTGTATTCTCACGAATGATTGCAAAATCTACGTTATTGTGACGTGTTGGATAACCTTTAATATTTTTGATAAGAACCAAAGATGCGTATATGTCAAGATCTTTGCGCATAGCAACATTGAACGATTGATGTCCCAGCTTGGATACAGGTGTGTATAAAATTCCTGAAATAATAATATTTGATAGTGTTTATAATTATTGGTATTTAAAAATAATTGGGATCAAGTTTATTATAAGGATACCACTAATAAAATGTACAATTAGACCCCTCTAAATGCAACTTATAGTGATCTAGCTTTTGACGATATGCAATAAAAAAAATTACATTTATGGGATCAAGTATATATTTGGGCCAGAGTTTGAGGTGCATTTGAGAAGTCTCATTATATTATTAATCAATTTGAAGTAGTGTCCCTTACACCAAACTTTAAATGAATGTGCTTACTTAACATTTACCTTTCAATGCTACTTTGTTCCTTCTTATACTCTCAACACTTTGTTTAAATAAAATATCTTCTTCTTGAGTATGACCTGAAACATCAAGCTGTTCCCACTCAATTGGAACATTGGCAGCCCTGAAAATTGTTTTTACTGCAGCTGCTGTTTCCTGACCAATTCCATCACCCGGGATCAATGTTACTGTATACTTTCCTCCGTATTTTGTGTTATTCAACTAATTTTTTTAGAAATTAATTAGATCAAAGTTATTCATATTAATTTTTATTCACGAATTCCAAAAGTCAAACATTACTCAAAACTCAATTACAAAAAAACTTTATGAAATTAAATAAAAGCTCACTGGGGAACCGGTAGGAACTGAGACCACTGAGCGGGAAAACCCCTTCTGAAGCATATAAAAAAAAAAACATAGCTTTATTATATGCTTATATATATATATGCTCTTTGGTAATTACAAACATTATAAAAAGAATCACCATACTTGCTTGGTTGCATGAATAATTGGTGTCGTCGTTCTAGTAAATGTTTTGAGCATTTTTACGTACTTGAAAAAAAAAATTATTTGCTTAAAGTTCCAAAAAAATTAAGAGGTTATTTGACGATGTAAAATTACTCGTACTTTATAATTCGTAACAGCTTTGTGATAGGCAATAAGATCAATTTTAAATGTGATAATCTAGTGTAACATTAGAGTAAAACTTTATTTTAAACAAGAAATTGCATTATGTTTAATGTTTTTCATTTAGTTCAAATTATATATATTTTTTGTCATTTTTTTAATCGATGTGCGCGTCTTTTTTTATATAATAATGTTGAAAACTTAAATACTGTATTCACTTCAAACTTATTTATTTTATTTATTACAAACTCAAAAAATGTTTTTATTTATTTATTAATATAATTTATTAAATAATATGAAATAAATCACGTACATATGTAAATTCGCAATTTATTTATTTTTACAGAATTAAATCTACTACAAATATAAATCTCAAAAGAAAATGAATTTGTGTTCTAGAACTTAAAATACCGTAGATTATAAAGGAAAGTTTTAAAAAGAATCGAAAATATAATTAATAAAAATAATCGTGACTTCGAGTTAGTGATAACTTAAAAAATGATTCTCTTTTCTCCTGTCTTTTGATTCTCATGCCGAATTGTACGTCTCAACCTAGGACTTGTAAAATGTTTCTTAAAGAGCTTCTTATATCGAAGGTTTCTTATATCGAAGTTTTTTTTATATCGAGAGTCATTTGTAATATAAAAATCAAGTAAATAAAACATCAAATTAAGTTATTAGTAAAATAAATTGCAAAAAAAAAAAAAAATAGAAAGAAAGAAAAAAAAAAATATAACTTCTAAATAATTTAAGTCATTTCAAGTGATAATGATATGGATTTTTGTAATGCACGAGAAGTAATAATAGACTTGTCATTCTTTATGATATTTTTTTTTAAAAAAAATATATATATATATATCGTGTCATTGTCATATCTTCCTTCTCTAGAGTAATCTTTTATCTAGAATGATAAAGTTACAGTTTTAGAACATATATGTCTACACGAAAGAATTTTCATAATATAACTTTTATATATGCATATACTAGAGATATAAGTTTAGTATTAAAAAAGTAACTAAGCTTAGTGCTAAAAAAATAAACAAATTGATTTTAAAAAAAACCTTTTCTTAGTACTTAAATCTATATCTTATCATTGTATCCTCCTAGTTTTTCTATATAATATTATTATTCTAATACTTAGTTACAGTTTTAAAACACATATATTTACATAGTAACTCATAGTATAACTTATATACATATATATACTAAACATGTAATACTTAGTAAAATATTTTTATCTTCTGTCATAAGTAAAAAATAGCTTGTTAAATTATAAGATCATAAGGTTATCTAAGTAATAGTAAGATAACTATAGAAAAAAAATAAAAGTTATTGTTTAAAATAGTGCTAATATAAAAGAAAAGTTTATATTTTAATAAAGAAAAATATTTAAAAGTATATATTTGTTATGTTATTTCATATAAAAGTAAAAATTCTATATATAAAAACTAATAATTTGATTAAATAATTTAGTTATAAAAATAAAAAATATGTTTTAATAAAGATTAATTATAATAATATTTATTTTTTTTTTAGTAATCATATTAATACTTTATTTAATCAATAATTTTAATCTATAACTAAAACATTTCTATCTAGTTTGTATTACTATCTAGTGATTACTACTAAGTATTAACTTACTCAGTTACTATTATAATACCTAAGTGTGATCTGCTATAGTGATCTTTGACCTTTTTACTTTCAAACTTATAATATGAGTAACCAAAAGTATCTCAAAGAAAGGATATTATTATTATTATTATTATTTTTTTTTTTTTTTTTTTTTTTTTTTTTTATCTTGAGCAATCTTACTCATCATTTATTCAGAGAAATATCGAAATGATATATAGATACAAATTATAAAAAGTCCTAAAACTAAACTATAACTATATTCCTTCTTTTATAATTCTGAATTCACTTAGCTATCAGTTGATACTCAGATACAATCTGCTGTAAAAACCAGTTTTCCTTCTGCAGTAACTCTCCTTGAAGAAGATATTATCTTTAGATCAACAAAGGTGACTTTGAGTCTTATCAAGATCTTAGATCCTTTATAACCTAATTAACACTAAGCTACAAATAGTTAACACCTAGTTTTAAGATAAAAAAAATAAAAATTGTTACTAATCTAAAAGCACTAAGCTTACTAACAAAGAAAAACTTGCCCTAAGTTATAAAAACTTTGTTAGACAGTAATATAAAGAAAGGAACAGAATACAAAAAGAACTAAAAAAAATAACCAAATACTCTATAACCTGAATTAGACTTAAAAATTTTAAATTATATAACTTGTAACCTATCTTGAAAATTTCTCTTCTTAATGTACAATCTATTTTCAGAATTTTAGACCTGTAGCACTGAGGTCACATAACAAACTAAATAGTAAACAAAGTATATGACTTTGTAAAAACAAAGTACATAATTTTGCTAAATATAGTATGTGGCTTTGTTTACTATATGAGGTTGCATATCTACAGAGTTTTTCTAAAAATAGAAGGAGTAAACAATGCCAATCTTTTGGAAGAAGAAACCTAGATTTTTCACTTTTTGTTGAAAAAAAGGAAGACTAAAGTGAAAAAGCTTATAATATATTGTTATTTTCTAGGTTCCAAAAGAGTATATAGATAAAATAATTTATTGTTCTTCTACTTTTTAAATCTTTTTTTACTAACTTCATTAACAAAGAGCTTCTTTTTTATCTTTTTACTAAAATTTTTTATACAAGGGCTCTACTTGCTAGTTATCTTATATAATATCACTTTTAGCTTGCATGTTAAATATATAGAAGAGTTTTTGAAGTAGTAGTTAACCTCAGTAAAAACTGTTGTATTGTAAAAAAAAACTTCTTCTTCATTATCTCCAATAAATTTTTGTTTTTAATTTTTTTGAATTTTTGGAAAAAAGGATCATCAGAAAGAGTGTGATTCAAAGGAAGGATATTATAGCCTATTATATTTGCTAATTATGTCTATAAACTTTTTTCTCTCTTTACAATTTCCTCTAACAAACTTTCTTTCACTAATTTAAAGTCTAAACTCAATACTCTACTGTTTTTATCTACTTGTTCTTCATCTAATATAATTTGGTTTAATTTGATTATCTTTTTTTCTTTATTTCTTTCTCATGCTTTTCTTTTTTTGCTAGCTTTTTTGTCTTTTAGCGATATTTTTTTATTTTTCTCCTAATTATTCATATCTATGCATCTTTTGATTCAGATTTTTATGTATACATATTTTATCCAAAGATTCCAGAATATGCATCAAAACTTTATAGTAGATCTCTTTGTACTAATTACTTTTTTTTTTTCAGCAATACTTTTATTTAGGATTCTTTACAACTATTTGATATTTTGAGCTTGCTTTTCTTTTTCAGATATCTTTGTCATGATCTGCTTTAACTTGTAAAGATCTCAACTTACTTTACTTCTTTTGTTACTTTGTATCTTTTTCCAAACTTTTTTGCTTATTATTGTTAATATATCTTATGCTTTTTACAGCAGATAATATACTCATTTAATTCTAGCTCAATAAAATATCTTTTGTTATATTGTCTCTGTATATATCTGGTTTTCTATTATTTAATACTTTGACTATAAGAAATAAGTTTTCAATACATTTGATTTTAAATATATATAGGTGATTTGCTTTTTACTTCTACTCTGCTACTTATAACAACTTCTTAACAAGCTTTTGAATACTTTCTAGTTCTGACTTTTAAGGTGATACTAGTGCTAGTTGTTATTCTTTTTTCTTAACTATATCTATTCTGCTTTATATATTGTTTGAACTAATTTCTTAACAAATGTTCTTAGTGATGTATCTAATTTGCAGTCTTCCTATTCTGGAATAAACTTAATATTTTTGATATTGATATTATTAACTTTTAATGATATATTTTCATTTACACCTTCTTTTGCTAACTGATCTGCTATATTATTATATAAATCATCTAAGTATGTTTTTACTTTAGTTAGCTTTAATTATATTTTTTGCTTCTGCAAGCTTTAACTATTGCTTGTAAGAAGCTATTGTTTTTGGTTTTAAGCCAGCATTATATGCTTTCATTTTTAAGACTTTTTGTTATAATTGCTATTACTTATATGCTGTCTATATAGTAAATACTAAAAGTAATGTCTGATTTGTAGATCTAGTCATCTGCACAAATAAATAGACTGTGTTTATCTTATTTTTATATTTTTTGAAACAATTTTTTTTTTTTTTAACAATTCTTAAACTTTTAACTAATGTCTAGCAAGAAAAAAAAAAACCTTCAAAATGCTATATATCCAAATGACTGAAAAAGATAAAAGAATGATCCTTGCTTATATCAATGATATGAGTACTAAGCAAGTTACTTATAAAATTAGTCATGACCTTATGATAGTTTGATAGTTTCTTAATAAATATAAGAAAACCAAAACAATTAATAATTACTACAGTCGGATCTAGTGATCTTAGTATAGTAGTTAGGTTGCCAGACTGTCATGCAAGAGGTCTAGAGTTCAAATCCTATTGTTGACGAATTTGAATAATTACCCAGACCTTTGTACTCAACTTATAGTAAACTCTGTCTATTTCTGGGGTTGTAACCCTGTAAGTTAAGTTGCACCAAGTCAATTGGACATTAGTAGTATGGCAGCAGTTAATCACA